CCGCTCCCAACAAAAAAGAGAGCTTCGTCTCCTCCACCCCGAACAAGGCACGCCTAAAGTCCGCACTCACGCTGCCCATCAAGGCGGACCTCCCGCGCGCCCGCAAGCAGTCCGCACCCAGCTTCAGCACCCCCAACACGCCCACCAACCGGTCGACCCGCGCCCCCGGCGAGCTGCGGAAGTCTCTCACTTCGAACACTTTGCTAAATGCGCCAAAGAAATCCAGAAGTATGAGCCTCGGGCAGCAGAAGGACGAGAAGCCGTATGGGACGGAACGGGTCGGAAAGGCTAAGAGCCGCAGCACGACCGCGACGCCCGCGCCCACGCCGACACTCGGCAGCCGCAAGACGCGCAGTCAGAGCCTCGCCTCCACTCCGGTCAACGAGCCGCGCAGGACCTTCTCCGCGACCAACGGGCACGCCAAGAAGACGCGCAGCATGAGCCTGGCGACGACGACGGACTTCGGCAAGCCGCTGGTGAAGAGCGTGTCGCTGTCGACGGGCGGCGCGCCCATGACGCAGGCCGCCATCGAGGAGAGCATCCGACTCTCGCTGGCCGCCACGCTCGTCGACGACTCCTGCCCCAAGAGGCCCTTCCTCCACATCAAAGCCAAATACAGAAGTCCACCGCCGCGGGAAGTCCCTCCTAGATAACTTAGGTCCGTTCATTCCAGTAGTTGTACAATGTGACGCGAGGCCGGGGCTCCGAGGCGAGCGCTGAGTTCGCGAGCTAAGCATTAAGTAGATCTCCTAAGTAATCTCATTTGTTTAACCACGTAGTTATAAGTGGCAAATCACATTTATTAACTCGAAGGAATCCTAGTCATAATGAGTTTCTTTAAAATATATTGTATCTATTATTATTTGTAATTTAATCGTCATTACAATTTCAACATTATTTTTCATTTTAATTTATATTTTTAAAGGCGATACCAACATTATTATTATTATTTCTAAATTTAAATTGATATTTGTTTTAATTGAAGCGTCCCCTCACTCGCGCTTTATGATGTAATAAATATTTTCAGTTTTATTTCATTTCGTTTTTTTTATTTTATTTTTAGTACAACACTAAGTGCTTACTTACGTATTTGTATTTATTAAAATATGCTTTAAGTAGGTATTTGCCAACGTTTACAAATTATTATATCGCATTTCATTAGAACAGTTGAGTCAATCATGCTATATAACCTTATTTAGTTGTTAGGTTTTTCTCTCTAAATCTTCAAAAGCTGAGAATTTCATAAAAACAATCTCGAGGGTACAAAGACGATTAAGTCCACAGATATTTTCGTAATATAGATAAAAGAAATATTTTTGCACAATAGTTATAGGGGCACCAAAACACCTAAACTAAACAACCACGTTAAAATAAAAGGATAAATAAAACACACACAATAATTTGAGCTTCAATACACATGAAAGAAATATAAAATTAATACGTTCTAGGTTTTAAAATTAGTAATAAAGATATTAGAAATAAGTGCATGAGGACCTGTGGCCGAGTTATTTGAGTATTTTAACTTTTACAAAACACGATTTTCAAATTTACACATTAACTAAGATTTCACCAAATTATTCATAACTTTTATTCCCACGAGTATAAGGTGCTTTTCTTACATAAGACCTAAAACAAACTTTACATAAATAATATTCTGTATCGTTTACGTATAAAGCAATAATTTGTAAGCTACACTTTTCATTATTATATTTGAAGCAAATCTAGACCGAAAGGCAATGTTTTATGTCGGCTTTTACTGTCGACAAGTCAACTGCATTTTGTGCCAACATTTACACTTTACAAATGTTTAACTTAATAAACTTTTTATATTCAAATTGTTATCTTTTAATATAAATATAGCAACCTCTTCCCGTTTTCTCGAAGTTTTTGAAATTTTATATTATAACGTAAAAAATCCTTAAAGGTGATAATCGCGGGCAAGGGAACAGTGTGTAGGCACCCTTAGATCACTTGCAAATGTTCACATAGAATTTTGAGCAGTACGAGTATCCACTATCCAGGGTTGATGGCTAACGCACTGTCACTTCATGTTGAGCGAGCATTTAACACTGAGGCCACTCTTCTCTAAAACTTCGCTCTGCACTGGGTGAGTATAGATAATACATTAATTTCTATCAAAACATATAATGTGTAAATCAGCTTAGAATCGGTTCATAAGTTCAGTTCGAACAAACTTGAACCGTTGAGTTACGGTTCAGCAATTAAATTGTCAGTTCGCTGCTCATTGCGATGTGCTATAACTATGCGACTCTACGAGCCGCGAGCACTCCGCAGGTCAAAACGCAAATCGTAACTATATGTAGGTACAAATTCATCTGAATTGCGAACCGATTCACTGATCCGCTTCAAATATGTGAGCCATAAGTTGATTTGTAAGTTGGAAATTTTAGTTGACTGACGTCTGTATGTACATTATTGTGTAGAATGGAGGTGTGACGCACGTGTGCCTGCCGCTGTGCGCTTCGGTGACTCCGCACAAGCGGCGCTACACGTACTACCGCAATCTGTACAAGCCCGTCACATACGTCATGCCGCAGCCGCAGCCATTGAAAATATCACTCGTTTGAAATTGTATGCGTTTTATTTTACATCCCTCCACAAACATTACTTACCTAATGCTGAATGATACCCAAAGTTGTCCGAACCGATGGGGGAAAGACCCGGTCACAATTTGACCAAATATATTAGCAGCAAGTTCTCATAAGCAAGCGTAAAATTTTGAAAATAGTTTAGAAACATCTGTGCTTCTTCGTCGTTGTAGTCTTTTCAGAGTGTCCGTGGTCATCGGGCATCAGTAACCCGTTTTAAGAGGAGCCGCCTCTCCTCCCTAGACTTTTTAGTACATTGGTTACCTGTGTTTAGGGAACATCTATGTATGTTATGCCATATTACATACACTTTTAAAAATACAGAAAAAACTCGTAACATTTACGTTATACTTTTATTAAAATACACTTATCTAATACTAAATATAAGTAATACAAAGAAAAGAAAAGAAAAGAAAAGAAAAAGGAATGAATCGTTAAATACTGTTCAGATCATAATTCATTTCAACTTGATCATTGCTGATTGCTGTTGTAACTTAAAACTAACTAATTACTTAATATATAATAATAAAATCTAATAATTTGGCATATTATTTACTTTACAATTTCGTCAAGAAATTTTTGCACAAATTCCTAAAATGTGTCGTTTAAAAAAAATATTTTAATTAGTGAATTAAAGAGAACAAGTGTTGCTAAACTGCATCCGTCTGTCTCTCCTGTATACACTATGTATATATGCAATAGTTTAATTCATATCAAATATTGTAACACACAAACACTAATATAAACATTATAAAAGCTTAGGCAAGTTAGAGACGTCCCCACCATGTACAAAACAATAGGACAACTATGTTTAACATTTAAAAGAAAAAAAAGGAATGACTTGTAGGGATTACATTGAGATATTTAAAATAGGTCCGACAAGGAAATACATAATCCATACATTAATTACTAGACAATTTATTGAATAAACATTTTGTCTATGATGTGGGAACGTCGTTAAAACAAATCTCAAGTCTTATAAGTTACAAATTTATGTTAAAAATTGCATAAAAACGCAAATTAAAATACAAATGATTCGATAAAATGTATTTTAGTGAATGATTCAAAATATTTAAATATACTTGTATAAGTAAGTCGAGGGGAATTCCTTATTCTTAATAAATATTGTAGAAATGGATATCGTTGCTTAAAACATATCTTAATGCTAAATATAAATTAATATTTTGGTGCAATATTGATTATTTCAATGATTGAATAAGCAATGACATTATTTGTCAGATATAATTATGATTTACAAAAGTGCATTCAGATATAAACATTGCATATATAAAAGAATTTGTTCTTTTTCATTTCAACTTTTATAATATTAATTACTTTCATGGTTCATGTTCAATTATATTTAGAATGAGACTGCTGTAGCCAAGAAAGTTGTCTGTAGAGTGGTAGTTACAATATGTTCCGCCATATTCAAAGTGCACCACAATCGCTTTATATGCTTACAACATCATAAAGCAATATTGATGTAAAATGTTTTAAATCTTGACGTGTGAGTGATCAGAGAACTTAGCACGAATATTCTTACAATTTTCTTAACGTCATCGACACAACCTCATCAACAAGTTTTGTCGATGAGGTTAGAAAGACGCATATCGCAAATATTGGTGGTAGACCCTCAGAGTGCAGCAACCGGCGACACGTCGGACAGGTAGAGGTTGCTGTGGCTACTTCTTCTTGCTCTTGCCGAGGGTGAGGGTGTGGTGCGCCTGCGCGCTCTGCTGCTTGCGCCGGTTGAATTCGATCGTCTCGTCCTCTATCTTCTTACGCAGCTCCTCGAGCCGCTTCTTCTCTTCTGTGTGATCCTTCTTCAGCTTGTCGAATTTCGCATGGAGCTGGAAATAAAAATAGCAAATTATTTATTTCGTTGTCTTAATTAATTTAAAAAGAGTACAGTCGTCAATGTTGTTGAGGTGACGTACCTCCTTCTCGGCCTCCTTGAGCTCAGCCTCCTTCTCCTTGACGCGCTGCACGAACATCTGGCGCATCTCGTCCTCCTTGTGCTGCAGCTCGGCGAGGTGGGCGCTGCGCTTCTGCTCGAAGGTCTGCTGGAAGGAGACGGGCTTGTTGTCGGCGTCCACGTCGCTGAAGCCCATCTGCTGCAGGCGGCGGCGCCGGTACAGCTCGTAGTGGCGCGCGTGCGTCTTCTCGCGCATGTCCTCCATGTTAGTGCGGATCAGCATCTCGCGCAGCTTCACGAAGTCGCAGTGAGACTCGTTCTCCACTGCAACATTGCATTATATACAACATTACATCTCATCACTACACGTTAACATAGTGATGGACGCCTGCAACGACAGACATCTGTTGCCCATGTGTTCATACAGCACAAAGCGAGGAAAGAGAAAGTGTAAATCATTCCGTGTTTTTAACTATATATGTGTGTGCCTTAGGCCTAATATCAATCGCTCCTTCGTCACGAAGGAGACGTGGGAGTTGATGTATGTATGAGAGGTAGGTATACCTTGCACGGTGCCCCAGGGGTACTGGCGGGCGCGCACGGTCTTGTTGCCTAGCTTCACGAAGTCGGTGCTGCCGACGACGGCGAAGGGGATGTGCGAGTTCATGGCGCCGTTCACCTCCGACACGGACTCGTCGTCCACCGGGAACTGGTAGATCTCCACGCCGTTCGCCTGCAGCTCGTGCATTATCTTTGACTGAAACGCAAACAATATCTCATTCAAACTACTGTAATTACATATAGTCAAAGTAACATGTTGTGATATCTACATGATACTGAAGTGCTGGTAAGCAACTAATGTCATTTTTTAAATAAGAGGTCACATGAGGTACATATAGCAACAATCCCATAGCAATGAATCATTTGTAGTGAGAACAATGAGACCAACCTTGAACTTCTGGAGCTCCGTCTTGGAGATGGTGTCAGCCTTCGCAATTATAGGTATGATGTTAACCTTCGTATCTAACTTCTTCATGCACACCAGGTCGATTGACTTCAGGCCATGTCCTGGAATACAAAAGTATATCTCTTAATAAGCAAATAAAATTGTCTAAAAAGGTTCCTCATTCTCTCTAAAAATATCATATTATTGTGACTTTCATAGTGTTGTTATGGAGGACATAAATACAATTTCACTTTCTAGTTTAGTAGAACAATATATGAGCCATAGAAATATTGAATGCATGTCCTTGACACTTGTCAGTCAGTAAGCAGTACAGAGAACAGACATATTCAGATCGCGCGCGACATACAAACGCGACGTCCTCGTGACACGCTCTCCGTCCCAAATACCACTAACGGTAAAGTTACTTTTACTTATCAGCTGCAGGAATTAAGTGTCATATATTCATATTAAAAACAACCGTCCAATAACTTTACGCAACTTCTTTTTCATATTTAACTATCTACTAGCCTTTGCCCTCGACTTTGAGCAGAGTATAAAAAACTTTCTAAATACCCCATTCCAGACTGACAATCTTATATTCTATCCATACAAAGATTAGCATTTATAATACATACTAGTATAATATAAACTATGATCTGATATCATGAAGAAAGAATTCTTCAAATATAATTGTAAGTTAATAAGAAACATGTTGACTAGTTGTTAATATATTTTATATGAATTGTTTATATTTAGAGTAATAATATTATAAAAATGTGTACATATCATAAACAAAAACACATTCAGATGTTACAACAGGAATTGATATATTGTTTACATCTGTCTCATTGTTACCAATTTGCATTGAGTTTATATTAATGTCATGTAAGAGAAAGAATGTTAATGATTAGTACACTGAAACAATCATTGAATAAATGGTATTCAGTGCAGCGCCCCACACAACTTTAATTTGTTTTATATCCTTGTTTGCAAAATGACTTCATCCTGTTAACACGCGTTATCGAACGGAAAACTATGATTGCCTTATAAAAGGTAATATAAGAATTGAGGAATAATTTTAGAAACTACAAAATGAACATTTACTATTTACTAAACAACATTGAAAAACATAAATCCAACAGAGTATGTGTTTCCATATTTATAGTGCAAAAGGTGATTGAACTCAATATTGTGTTTGTCCACTACTAGTTTGTGAGTGCACTTTGTGACTAGAATATTAATAGCACAACACACTGATATCTAATGAAAGTTATGACCCTTCATAAATTAAACCGTGTCAACTAATAATAATAAAGGACCAATTATCAACGGGTAAAAGTTCTAATAAAACCCATGCTCGCCTTAATCATACCCAGTCATTAAATATTATGCCTTAGTATAGGATTAGTATGTAAAACATACACTAAGAGAATGTCTCTGTAACCGTTAGAGTGGTTAAATCACTCAGAACTGAAGCTAGATAAAATTGGAACAAAAGAAACACCTCTAATGTGACCAAAAGCATAACTACTGACAAACAAATTTGACAAACATTTATTACTTTACATAAAAATTGAGTCCTGTATCAAATGAAACATATCATACCTGTTGGACAGATGAAGTACAGACAGACGTGTAGACGACTATCATGGTATGTGGGCAGGGAACGCTTGATCTTCAACTCCTCCTGCAGGTACGCCTCAAACTGTGCATCTATGTAGTCCACCACCGCCTTGAAGCTGTCCTCCTTGTTCACTTGATCACCGTAGCCCACCGTGTCACAAATTGTCAGCTAGACAAATAAAATATGTGTTACACTTTAAATTTTTTTTTTGCAGAATCACATATTTTACTATTTACTAAAATACAATTTTTAAAGTTATTCTATTTTAATTATGAGATCATAACAAAAGTCAAACTTTCATACATAAAACTTAACTTGAAAAAATGTTTAAAGCCGGCAACATATTTGTGGTTCCTCTGGTGTTGCAGGTGTTTATGGGCATTGGATCAATTAGTATCAGACAATCCATTGCTTGTTTACCTCTTCCTCATTAAAGAAAGACTTAATGTATAGTCCAGAATAATATCAAGATCACCATCTACATCATTGTAAAACGGTATGACCATCCTGTACAATTCACCTTTAATCTGACGCTGCTTTCCTGCAGCTCATATGTGTGTGCCTTCAGTTTCACTGTGGGCAGGTTGTGTGGGCTGGGGGACGACTCAAAGTTGGTGTTGAACAATGAATCCATAAGTGTTGATTTGCCAAGACCAGTCTCACCTGTACACATAAAGGAAATTAACATATTTACTCTTTAATTGCAATAAAAACGTTTTGCTGTGCGAACAGGGTACTTATGGGCCCAACCGTTCTTTTCTTATATTGTGACCATGATCTTTTTGTAGAAATATGTTTCAATCACCATTTAGCTGCTATATCTAAACATTTGTGACAGATTTGTATCACTGAAAAGAGTTTGTGTATAAGTATGTTAAACTAACAAGTACAAAGTTGATAACGCCGGCCGAACAAGTGATTAGTCAAACATCGTAACAAGTTATTCATAACTTACCAATGCATAGGATGTTGAACACGAAACCATTCTGCACGCTCTTATTCACCAGCTGATCTGGAAGGCTGTCGAACCCGACGTGCCCCGACAACTTCAGAGTTCGCATTGCGGACTCCGCCTTCAACGAAATTAACTTTGAAAACCGACTATAAACTTGCAAACCTTTGACTATGGATACCTGGTACTGAAGGCCTTAACAATTGCAAATATATACATTTTGAAACATAAACAAAACAAAGGTTTAATAATTCGTGACGTTATTTATCAGAATTTATAAATAATAAACCTACAAAACGCCCAACGGTGTTTTCTTTTTTTTTAAGTAAATATTCCAACATTAATAACGAACCGTTTAAAACCATACAATAGCTATTTATATAAAATACAACATTCCGTTTACATATTAAACAATAGTTATTGTATTTACAACTAAAACAGTTTAATTAAAACTTACTTTAGGAACCTCAACTTCAATCGCCGCCATGTTTATTCGCACTGTGACTGACGAATACTGAAGTTAAATACAAAATGGTAGTGGAAGTACGACTGACCGTTGCACACTTCACGTCACAAGGCTTGCAACACTTAAAACTTTAAAAATTATTTTCTTATTTGAATTTTAATTGTAAGTAATTTGTGTTTCAGTCGATTTTGTGTTCAATAATTCTATAACAATTATTTAAATGCGTGGTAGAGAAGGTTAATCGTATTTTTTTACTTTTATAAAATAAAATCACTCTTTGACAATATACTTCAAACTTTTTTTTAATGTTGGTGAACATGTTTCATAAATTGCAACTAGAAGTTTTTAGCTTAAATGCTAGGTAGATCGAACAAATTTGTGCGAATTGCAAAAATGTTTAAGATACTACTAAAAACATATTAATTATAAAAAAATTGCGACCAAAAACTACATGAAACATCATTAAGGAAATTTCGAATACATTAATGAGTCATAGTTTTTATTTGTATCATTTCATAAGTTTAGATTGAAAGTCGGCAAGGTCTAAAATAAATTTAAAACAACCACGTTTTAGCAAGCCTAACAACTAAATAACGAAAGTATATTAATTTAAACTCCCAACAAAACAATATTGATTTATTGGCAAAAATTGACGTGAACATTCATATTATGGCAACACTTTATAATTCCAAAATGGTAGAAAGCGACATTGGTGCGTTATCATGTGAGCCGATGGAATAATGTTTTCTTGAATTTTTTCGTCGTGAGTGGATTAAATTTTGTGTGTAAGTGAATAGTGACATAGTTAAATATGGCGGACTTAAAGTCGCCGCCTTTTAGTGAAATTACGAGACCTGAGGAAGTAGTCAGGATGACGACGAACGATAGCCTGAAATTTGCAGTCCTTATCGGCTTGATTGAAGTCGGACAGGTGACCAACCGGGAGGTGGTGAATACCGTCTTACATCTGGTAAGCCTAGATGATGAAATTGTCTCTTATAAACTTTCGTTTTAATCGGAAAATTGATAGAATTCTTATTGGATTCGTCTTGGAAAGGTTAGTTGCGGACGATCAGTTTCCATACTTACGTCAAATTAAACAACTTGTTTTTTTTTTATTTCTCGTGGTCTTTCTTCTGTTGTTAGAGAAAGATTGTTTAAGAATATTGAGTGCGATGAACTAGGTCTATTTTTCTTGTTTTTATCGATCGTTTGGTGTTGTGAATGGTGGAATAGTGCGGCGGAGGTTGTAGCCGGCGAGCGTTTGTTTTGATCGTTGTATTAGCTTTCGACGGCATGTAAACGATAAATAAACCACTATGGCTGTATTATCTTATGCTCATGAGTATTATTCGTAAGCATTTCCACGTACATTTTCCTGCTTTTAGTAATTACTAAATGTACGATGTCAGAGTTTAAGATGATTCTAAGTTTTACGCTGGATCGTCTGTAATGAGGGCGTGAAACAAATTGGGTTTCTTGGCTTTCGTATGATGGTTTTCATACAATAATCGTGAGTTTTTTAAATATAAAAATCGCATGATTACACGGATTGGCTCGTGTTATGCCACGCAACGTGTTGTGGAATTTCGATGGTGGTAGGTATATTTATTAGTCGAGATCTAAACGGTGTTATTTTTCTTTTTAATAATTTTCAACTGTATCGTATTTCTACTTCTCAACATTTATTTTGTTATTTTGCACTTTACAACTCCAAGACTTTTTTATTCCCGAATATTTGATATACACAATGATATTTGGTGCTGACTTGACATTTTATCGCATGGGTTACTACGTTAATATTAGCCGATTCACTTTTCGGAGCGTCTGTGGCTCAGGGGTTAAGCATATGACTGGTTTTCTGCAGGTATCGATATGGATTCGAATCCTGTCATGTATCAATGTGATTTCGATTTACATCGTGATGCAAATTGCATATTGCGAAGGAATTTAAAGATTTGTGTGAAGACAACCCGTACTGGGCCAGCGTGGTTAACTATAGCCTAGTCAGTACGTATAGAGAGCTGATGATGATGATTCACTCTTCTTTTAAAGGTGAAAATGTTAAAAATCAGTCCTTGTCACCAATAATGTTTATATTAATTCGTAAGGAAAAAACACACTGACCTCATTACAATCAGATTTTGTTGCTTAACATATACTTGTGACGTAATTATTGGCAGAAACATCGTCTCCTGTATAATATAAGCTAAATTTACGCTCGTGATAAAGATCTAGACGAGCAAGATTGATAGCGGGAGAGGCGACCTAAGATTAAAGGGCTTATTCCTCTGCATAGTGAGAAAATAAAATATATTTCACAAGACAATGCAGCAATCAGATGTTAGAATAAAAAGCAAAACGTAAAAAATAACCGTTAGTTGGTATTGCAAAACATTCTCACAAAAACATACTTAATATGTCCTACTTAAACTGACTAAAAAGGGATTGTTAACACTATTAGTCAGGTTTGAAGTGTTTGTATTACTAATATTATAAATGCGAATGTTTGAATGAATGGATGGATGTTTGTTAGAAGGTATCTCCAGAATAGCTCAATAGATCTCGCTGAATGGCTTAGATGTAGAGTATAGTCTGGAAGAACGCATGATTAATTTTTCTTTTTAATTTCGCACGGACAGAGTCGCGGACAGAAGCTTGTTGCAAAACTTTTAGACAATCAGCTCATTTTGTATGCTCTCTACGTGTCTAGTTTCCGTCAGTTACGTAACTAAGCAATAAAATATATTTTATAGACGCGCTATATACAATGTTGTTAATGTTTTATTATACTCTGGATACAGATAAAATTATTCATACTGAAACTTACTATTTGACGGCTTTATCAAATTAATTAACAATGGATGTTTACTGAGAACAGAATTAAAATAATTTAGTTCGTATTTGTGTCAGTCTAGCTTTTGTCAGTTGAGATGAAAATATCGTTTAAATGCGAACCCCGTAAAATATATCTGTTTGAACGATATTATCTGATTCAATCATTCTGTTTAGATGGCAACTTTTTTCGATAGATTTTAGAGGAAATGGGATAGGGATTGGTCAAGTATATTGTAATGTTCACACGCCTATCATAGTTATTGATTAAGCTTGTCAGTGATAAGTTTATCAGTGATATTCGCTGACCCATAGATAAAGATACCATTTATTAAATTTCATACATACATTTGTATTATTACTATTGTAGTTATTAACGTACTAGCTATCGCCTGCAACTCCGTCCGCGCGAGATTTTAATAAAACTTTAGTAGACGATCTCTTCATCCAGGCTATGTTCTACATCTGTGGCAAATTTCAGCAAGATCAATGCAGCTGTTCTGAATATACCTTCTAAAAACATTCATCAAAGGTATTTATAATATTAGTAAAATATTAAGATTCATGTGGTGGTGGTGAGAAGATCATTGTCTAGCATTTCCAAATACTAAATAACTTAAAACTACATTTGTTTTAAAACTTGTACGAAAGATGATGATAAAGATAGTTTTATAGGGAAGCCTCAAACGACCTTAATACCGTAGCCTACATCACGTGTCTTGTAATATTTCTAATGTATATTACTTAAGTGGCATAGTGTGCATCTTAGCATATGTCGCCTCGCGGTTGCACAAGTTAGATAAAGCGTTGCGTCATATAACATACAATATGTCCCGACATAGTGTATGTTATATGAATAAGAACGACTTAGAACGATTAGTGAGTTTCTGAACCACCGAATTTTTACCTTAAAAATGTAATAAGCACCAGCGTAATACAGAAAAAAGGTAATGTTTGTGTTTTATTTTATAATTATAAAGTTAACTTTATAATATGTAAAATAGAAAAATAAAATATTTATATTTCTGATAAATATTGGTGCAGTGCAGGTTCTGATCCAAGTGCGCCGATATCCTGACGACTGGCAGCGCGCCAGGCAAAACTTTTATTTATTACACTTTACAAATTAATTATTTCAAGTATCCTTACACAATACAGCTTTGCATAACTTTATTAAGTTAATTAATCACCATTCTGATACTCAGAGAAGTTACTTACTAAGGCAGTCATTTAGTTTTTTTTTTATTTAAGTTGTTAAAGCAATTAATATGTCTACGATATTGACTAGTTGGTTGTGGATAATGTAAACAAAGCGGAGACGGTACGTGTATGACGTCATCCGACATATTGGATTTGTGTCAACGTTGTGTATATTGGACCGTCATTGTGTTGTCCTTGCGCAGAACCTAGTAGCACTAACAAAGTCATTACGAACTGTATTGCCTTACCACTTGCTACAAATACGTCGAAACAACAATGTCTATTAGTGGGCTTAACAGTATGCTTCGAATTGTTGTCATGGGATTGTTAATCAAATCTTTTGTAATGATATCGAATTGTTTTTATTTTTTATACTCTGTGAAACGGGATTAAAGGTGTATAAAAAACTGGGAGAAAGAAAAAAGGGTGTCGCCCGCGATTCCGATAGCGCGAGATTAAAAAAAAGCTTAATTTAGTACCCTATATGTTCTTCGAGACTATGTTCTAAATCAATGCCAAATTTCAGCGCAGCAGATCCATGCAGCCGTTCTGGAAATACCTTCTAACAAACATCCATCCCTTTAAACATTTGCATTTATGATATTAATAAGATTAGTAATATGTAACGTATAGCTTTGATTCAACGTTAAATATAATATATTTTGGAAGACGTACAAAGTAATAAAGTCACGGTTCTTAGAAAGGAAAAACTACGTAACTGTGCTAAGATCGTTAACGAAAAAAAAAAGATACAAAAAAAAGACATTCATTGTTCCCCGCCGTGAAGAGGTATCACGCGTTCTTGACCGCGACCTTGTCTTGAGCAGTAATGTACTGCACTGCGATTTACATTGCTGTTACTGATAGACTTTTAATCCTGATATGTTGTACTCAGCAGGCGATGGATAAGCACAATGAATTGATTTCCGTTACTAGTGGAATTTAATGATGGAAAGTGAAGGGGCTGGTCAGTAAATACTGATGAATTGTGTTGACATTTATAAACAACGACTCGTTTTATTCCATTGTAAT